CACAGGGAGAGGAAGGAACTGTGTGCTGGACACAGATATTGACATGTATTTGTGTGTCACCTTTGTGACTCTGTATAAAGGCATACCTCAGAGATACTGTCCAATAAACTGAGTTCACAATAAAGTGAGTCATATGAATGTTTTGGTTTTCTTATAAAAGTTATGTTTCCACTATACTGTAGTCTATAAAGGGTACATTATGAAAAAGTTAAAAAATATTGTGAGAATTACCAAACTGTGACACAGAGACAGGAAGTGAACACATGCTGTTGGAAAAATGTCTGCCACCCATAGACTTGCTGAATGAAGGGCTCATTGTAAATTGTCAATTTGTTTAAAAAAATATATAAAAAAATTTCAGTATCTGTGAAGTGCAGTAAAGGAAAGCACAATAAACAAGGTATGCCTGTCTCATGCAGACTACGTACTTTCAAAGACATAGCACTACATTAAATCAAAATACTGCTGGAAAATTGATTTGTCCCTAGAATGCTGCATGTAATTCCTGCTGGTTATATAGGTCTGTCTTAACTGTCTCTCTATGCTTAGGTCTTGAATGGTGAGATCTCAAAGGGTGGTTCAGATTGGAAACAGCTGCAACAAGGCCCAGCTACCTTGGATGGTGTCAGTATCCCCAGATGACATACAAATGAGCACATATTCCAAGCAAGTTTTTCTTAGACTTGGAACCACCATTTACCTAGCAGATCTCCCACCCAAGTGGGACCCAGGGGGGCAAAAAATGAAAGAATATGAAAAGAAATGGACTTGGTCCACGTGCCTCCAAAAGACCAAAGGTAGTCAGAGTGAACTCAAATCATCTGATGGAACAGATCCAATATTTTAACACCAATTCTCAAGCCTCAGATGTGAGCCTGGCTGTTGGCAGACAACCAACGCTGTCATATTTAATTTTTAGATTTGGCTGTTTGATCTGGCCCAGTGTGAGGCTGTGTGTTTGATGGGATGTACAAGGGTTGAGGAAGATGCCTGGGGAGATGGCCTGGGTCCTAGTTCAGTGACTTACCAGCTGTGTGACCTTGGACAAGCCATTCACTCTGTTGAGAGTCAAATTTCTCATCTGTACAATGAAAGAAACAAGCCCTGCCATGTTTGCATCGTGGAGAGTTGCGCAGAACAAATGAGATGGCGTTGGGCAACTACCAAAGCACTATGCAAATGACCAGCATAATTAGGCTCACAGGCAGAACATGAAATCCTTTCTTCATTTAATTTACATACTGTGGATTTGTACTCCTCATTCTTGTGGCAACATCTTTTTGAGACTATCATTTTGAGACTTAGGATTGATATGACATATACTTATATTTAGGAGCTCTGGTAGCGTAGTGGTTATGAATCGGGCAGCGAACCGCAAGGTCAGCAGTTCGAAACTACCAGCTGCTCCTCAGGAGAAAGATGAGGCTTTCTGCTCCCATAAAGATGTACAGCCTCGGAAACCCTGTACAGGGTCGCAATGGGTCGGAACCGACTCGATAGCACTTAACAACAACAACAACATATTTATATTTGGAGTTCTAGTGTGGCCCTGTGGGTTAATGCGCCACACTGCAAAGCCATTTGAACTGAAGGGTTGGCAGTTCAAGCTCACCAGCATCTCCTTGGAAACCCTATACAGGGTCACTATGGGTCGGAACCAACTCGACGGCACTTAACAACAACAAATACTTATATTTGGGAGTGCTCTATAGGATAAGCACTGAACTGCTAACTATAAGGTCGGTGGTCCAAGATCACCAGCTGCTCTGTGGGAGAAAGATGAGCTTTCTGCTCCTGTAAAAATATACAACCTGGAAACTATACAGGATCACTGTGAGTCGGAACTAACTCAATAGCACTTAACAACAACAACATATTTGTATATATAGTTCTGGTGTAGTGCTATAGGATAAGCACTGGACTGCTAACTACAAGGTTGGTGGATCAAACCCACCAGCCCTCCTTGGAAACCCTATACAGGGTCACTATGAATCAAACTCAACGGCACTTAATAACATCCTTATTCATCCTCAGAGTCCTTTGAGATAAAGAAAAAACTGGATTATAAGGAAAAATAGACCAGAGAGATGGTAGCCCAGGGCACAGAGAATCCCACCTTGATCTTTCTTTCCTAAATGATGAGACCAGTTGCCATTGAATTAATTCTGATGCATGACTCCAAGTATGTCAGAGTAGAATTGCACTCAAGGTTTTCAATGACTGATTTCATGGAAGTGCATCAAGAGGTCTTTCTTCCAAAGCTCCCAAATGGACTCGAACCTCCAACTTTTCAGTTGGCAGCTGAGCAAGGACTCCCTCCTAGCTGACATTCACTCTAAAACCAGAGATGCTGATCAAAAGTTAAGCTCACAATTCCCCAAACTTTCCTTTCTTTTTCTGTACCTTCTCTCTCTGGAGGCAGGTGCTGGGTTTATGTGTTGCTGTCTAGAGCCATGTAGAACACAACATCTAGTACTGTGTGTGTTTGATAAATACCTGTAATGGTGGTGGGGGTTCTGTGCCATGGAGTCGGTTCTGACTCATAGCAACCCAGTATAGGGTTTCTGAGGATGTAAATTTTCATGGGATCAGAAAGCCTCATCTTTCTCTCACAGAACAGCTGGTAGTTTTGAACTGCTGACCTCAAAATTAGCAGCCCAACTCGTAACCACTACTCTACTAGAGCTCCTTAAACACCTATAATAGAGGGAAATAATAAAAACAGAGCTCTAGAATGGATCTTTTATAAGCATTATCCGAGATTTCTGAAACCACAAATCAAGAAACATGTTTACTAGGTTTCAACCAGTCTGAGATGCATTGATCCTGACACACCATTTTTATGTACCACAAAGAAAGAAAAATCTGTATTCATTAAACTAGGACAAAATGCTTCCTTTTGTTTTGTTTTGTTTTGTTTTTAACTTTCATTGTGAACAATTCATACACATTTTGTTTCATGTCATTGGTTGCAAATCCCCACAATGTAACATCACTTATCCCACTTCCTGCATTGTTTGTTTCCATTTCTCCTCCTCTCCTACCTCTTCTTGACTTCTGAACTTTGTCCTTAGGTAAATGCTGCCCTTTTGATCTCAAATGCTTGATTATTCTAAGGTGTGTGTACCTCACTAGTGTTACTGTTCCCCTTATAGACCTGTCTGTTGTTTGACTGAAAATTGAGCCATGGGGTGAGTTCATTTCCACACCTGAAGGGTAGCTAAGGACCATCATCTTAGTGGCTCCACCACTCTCTGTCCAAGCCTGATATTTTTTATGAGTTGACACAACGCCTTCTTATTGTGTTATTAAGACATGTCTTGATCTCATATATATTAAAATGCTTCTTAAATGTGCATCTTGGAATAAATGAAATGTAATATGTTTATCTCTTCCAAAGGGTAAAGCTTTCTTCTTTTGGTCCTCATGCATTATTAGATTAAAATCAGCTGCCATCCAGTTGAACCTGACTCATGACGACCGTTTGTATGTCAGAGTAGAGCTGTACTCCACAGGGTTCTCAGTGGCTGAGTTTTTTGAGAAATAGACTACTAGGCCTTTCTTCCAAAGTTCCTCTGGGTGGACTCAAATCTCCAACCTTTCAATTAGCAGTCGAGTCATGTGCACCACCCAGAACTTTATTATTAGATTGGCAAACTCCAAATCTGTCTCACTTTCTGTTATCAGCGCCTTGCACTTACATGTGTTATGTAATCATGTGTGCTAACTGGGAACATTAATTCTATTTTCCTTACGAAGGAAAGGAAACATTAATTCTATTTTCCTTACAAAGTCCCTCTGGGCTTGGATGTAATTTTAGGTTAGCATAGATTGTAAAATACTTGTCAGAGCCTAAATCATTTATTCTATGTTCTGTTATTTATTACAAGACTTGTAAGAATAAGCAATGTTTAAGGGCATTTGCAGGTCTATTGTGTTTTCTTTCTCCCAAACAGTGCTTTTATTGTTGCTTATTTAATATTTGTTTTGGGCTGCTTTGCTGTTATTATTTAGTTTGTCCTGAGTTCAGGTTGTTATTGTGTGATGTCAAATAAATTCCAGCTCATAGTGATCCTGTTAAGACAGAGTAGAACTGCCCCATTGGGGTCCCTAGGCTGACATCTTTAAGGAAGCAGACTGCCACGTCTTTCTTCCTCAGAGAGGTTGATAAGTTCAAAATGCTACCTTTTGGCTAGCAGCCGAGTGCTTGAGCATTGCACCATCAGGGCTCCTTTAAATTCAGGTAAAGCAATTGAACTGTGTGTTTCCCATTGCACAGAGGAAATAGGCATGAACAGACTGAAGTGTTGAGAGTGCATTAGTTTTCTGGGTTAAATAGGACACTTTCATCAAACACAAGGGAGGAATTTATAGTCTCTGGGCAGAAGGGGATATGAGGAACACAGGGAAATGAAAATACAATTCCCATGACAATCCTTTGTAAATTGTTCTGTGGTCCAGTTCTTACATTTACATCTTTGTTCATCAGCTTTTCTTGCCCATTTGGGGCAAGAACACCCTACCTGTTCTGTCTGCTCTGTAATTACCTCCCTGCATCCCTTTGGTCCATCAGGACTTTATTTATACACCACAGCAAAGACAGTCACATAGAGCATGGATCTCTAGGCACTAAGTCAAGTCCCTGGGGGTTACAAATGGTTTGTGCTCAACCACTAACCTGGTGAAGAAAGGTTTGGTAATCTTCCTCCAAAGAGATGAGTCAAAGAAACCCTATGGAGCAGTTCTACTCTGTAACACATGAGGTCGGCACGAGTCAGAATTTAGAGGCTAAATTCTGATCTGATGGGGAGGAATGGTCCAAAATATTACCATCACTGTACCTGCATCCTAACAATTACTTCAGTACCAGGGTACTTGCTCCCCACAGGGGATGCAAGGGCTCATTTCTGTGATGATGAATGTCAGAAGCAGGTGGGAAGATGCTAATGTTTGACCACTGCTACTAATGCACATTTTGCCCACTGTTCTCTCCCTTGCAGTCTGAATACCACTATGAGTACACGGCGTGTGACAGCACAGGTTCCAGGTGGAGGGTCGCCGTGCCGCATACCCCGGGCCTGTGCACCAGCCTCCCTGACCCCGTCAAGGGCACCGAGTGCTGTAAGCAGCCATCACTTTCCAGGGCCACTCTGCCCCTCAGCCTTGGCCATCACCCCCAGCTAGCCCCTTCCTGACTATGCAGTTTCCTCCCGGAATCAGATTTTTCCTCCCGGGGAGCCTCTGCCCTCAACCCTTCTGAAATTGTGTGCCAAAATTTCATTCCATGGATGCAGACTGAGTATGTGAATTTGCTTGTAATTATTTTTTTAATTTAAATCCCATCAGAGGCTATGCATATGCAATTCCAGCTGTGTGCCATTCAGATATGTTTTTTTTTTTTTTCTGCTGCTGACGTCTATTTTCTCATTTTGTCTGTGCATTTCAATCCAATCTACACTCACCAGGCACAGTCATTAGGGAAGACTACAGTTCGTTTTTGTTCTTGAAAAAGAAGCCAGAGAAGATAAGTGTATGCAGCCACAGACCTTTAAAATGCACTGGGCACCAGTTTAGGAAACAAAGCTCTCCTCTCTGACTGGGGGGATCTGACTGTGCAATTAAAAAGGCAGTGGCTTGCCTGCAGTTCACATCCCTACCTCTGTGGCTCGGTAGTCATAACTTTTCTGCAATTGATAGTTATTTCCCCTGCACAGTTCTCTTGGGAATGCAAAGGGGACAGGAATAAAAATCAGGGACTAGAATTAAATCAATATTCGAAGACTTGGAAAAGAGCTTGAGGGTATTTAAACTCTAAAATGGGCTTAGCACAGTGCCTGCTAAATAAATGAATGGGTAGTGTTAAAATCTGAGACGTGACTAATAAGAACAAAGGGCCTATCTGCTGTGAGCTCATCTGACTTTACTAAGCTACTACTCTGTGCAAGCACTGTGTTGTGCATGTACTGTGTGACCCACAAAGATGGATCAGGCACAGAGTCTGCCTCCAGAATTTGGTGAAGAGAGCAGGCAGTCATTTATCCATTCATTTTTTCAGCAAACCTTCATGGAGCTGCTACTGTAGATGGCTGTGCCAGATGGAGCCAGCCATCATTGGAGGATCTCCTAGCCTAGTGGGAGATAGATGTTAATACAATGTGATAATGCAGTATGACAAAGAATGGGTGTGGCAGTACTTAGGGATCAGGAACCAATAAGAGAACCACTTGAGCAAAATTTTGAAGGTGGGAACACAATGAACACATTAAGGGAAGAGCAAGTGGTGTCCAGGTGGTGGCAACACAAAGAAGGTGATGGAAAAGGTTGGGGTGGAGATTGAGCTGCTAAGTTAGCTTGGGGGCAAACTGTGGAAGACTTTGGATGCCAGGCTGAGAACTTAATTCTATAGCTAAAGGAGAGTGCCTGGTTATTTTTTAAGTAAAGGGGAAATAGTACCAGATGACTGTTTTAGAAAGATACCCCTAGACACAGAATGAGTATAAACAAGGAATGAGGATTTAGTTAAGAGGACATTACAATGGTGGTTGTTGATTTAAGAGGTCATGAAAATTTCACCTAGCATGGTGGTGGTGGAATCAAAAAGAAGGAGACAGAGCCCAGAGATACAAGGAGCAAACTCAAGGCTGAAGGGCCCATTCCAAGGGGTTAGCCCCATAAACCCTGCCATCTGCTCCACTGGAGAACTCTCACAGTGGCTAAAGCACCTCGTCCTAGGAAATGTCAGGGACAAACCAAAGTTCTGCAGCAAGACAGAGCTTCCATGCTCTGAATTTGGGTTTTGGTTTGTTTTAAAAATAATAACAGCTTTATTGAGATAAGTAGTCCTGTTGATGGTGTGAGCTAAGTGTTGAACTGCTAATCAAAAGTTTCAAAGTTCAACTTTGATCAGCAGGTCAACCTACCAGCTGCTCTGTAGGAGAGAGATGAGGCTGTCCATTCCTGTAAAGATTTACAGCCTCAGAAACCCTACGGAGCAGTTCTACTCTGTCCTACAGGGGCTCTATGGGCTGGAGTTCACTTGATGGCAGTGGTTTATAGTGGGTTTTATTGAGATACGATTCACATACCGTGAAATGCATTCCTTTAACGTGTACAATTTCGTGGTTGTTAGTACAATTATGACTACTGGTGTGGCACTGTAGGATCAGCACTGGACTGTGAACCACAAGGTCTGTAGTTCAAATGCACCAGCTGCTCCTCGGTGGAAACCCCATACAGGGTCGCTATAAATCGAAACCGACTTGATGGCACTTAACAACCACAACAGTATAAACAAAGAATTGTGCAGCCATCACTACTATATAATTTCGGAAAATGTTCATCACTGCAAAAAAAAAACATCAACCAAAAAAAACAACAAAAATGTGTACCCATTAGCAATCTCTTCCCACCCATCCCTTCCCTTAGCCTCTAGCATCCACGAATCTATTTCCTGTTTCCGGAATTTGCTCTTCTGGACATTTCATGTAAATAGAACCATGCAATGTGTCACCGCCCTGAATCCTAACTAGCCAAACTAGATCCCAATCCTGGGTTTTCTCCTTTAGGATGTCCACAACCCATCTACTTCTCCTGAGATGCCAGTGGTCTCACCACCGCTCCCCTTTGGCCCCTTTCTGTTTTCTAGCCTTCTCTTGCAACGCTGGGGAGTTTCTGGATATGAAGGACCAGTCGTGTAAGCCTTGCGCTGAGGGCCGCTACTCCCTGGGCACCGGCATCCGGTTCGATGAGTGGGATGAGCTGCCGCATGGTTTTGCCAACCTTGCAGCCAACATGGAGATGGAAGACGGTGTGACGGAGACATCAGGGAACTGCACTTCGTGAGTGCTCCCTGTCCTGGGGAAGGGGCTGCAGGGAGCGCTGAGCAGGAGGAGGGAGGAGACAGGGACCCAAACTGCCCAGTGAAGGTGGAGCCCGTCCCCTGGACTACTGGTTCCAACTTTCACCACAGCACACATTTACTGACCAGAGCTTAACAGAGACTGACAGACATTTTGAGAAGTGAGAAACATAGGGGAATAGTGCCTTGGAGACTATGGTTAAATGGCCCAATGCACTTAAAAAACTAAACCCAATTGGTGGTCACACTATAGAATTTTAGATCAGCCTCTAAACTTCCTCTCCTCCATTGGAACACCTTGTACAAAGGATTGGGTATCTTTCTGGCTTTGATGTTAACTTCTAATACTGGTTCTGTCAAACCTGGGTTCGTGGGTTTGCAGGGAGATGAGTAGAACCAGAGCTTTAGTCAGTGGGAGTCCTGGTGTGGCACTGGGGGTTAATGCTCTAGGCCGCAGAGTCAGTTTAAACTGCAAGGTCAGCAATTCAAGCTCACCAGCCGCTCCTTGGAAACCCTATTCATGGTCGCTATGGGTTGGAATCAACTTGAAGGCACCTAACAAGAAGCTAAGATCTACCATAGCCCTGGGACCCTGATGACCAGAGTTTTTCTGGCTTAGAAGGTCTCTGACAATAATTAAAAAGTTCAGTCCAGGGTGCGTGGAGAACTGGTAAGCAAGCTAGCCCTAGCATATCTTTGTACATTTAAATCCAGGGATAGGAATTGAGTTATATGCTCTCTCTCTGCCAGGGGAGTCCCCGATGGTATAAATGGTTAATGTGCTTGAGTGGTAACTGAAAGTTTGGAGGTTCAGGTCCTTGGAAAGAAAGTCTGGTGACCGATTTCAAAAAGAGCATCCATTGTGACCCCTATGGAGTACAGTTCTAGTCTGATATACATGAAGTTATGATGAGTCAAAATCAACTCAATAGCAACTGGCTTTTAATGAGCCAGCACTATGCAGAAAGCTTTCTATATACCATCTGCCATAATCCCACAAGGACTCTGTGGAATAGGTAGTGTTGTTTCCATTATACAAACAAGGGACTGGAGTCTCAGAGAAGTTACGTGACTTTCTCTTTATAACCCAGTTTTCAGCTGGTGAATTTGGAATTCAAACCTAGCCCCATGCTCCACCTTCAAATGACTTTTGTTGTGTATAAGGTGATGTTGGGAGATGGGGAAAAAAAGCACAAGGTGTCAATATGTAAAAGGCAATCGTATAGACTGCTGTTTGTTAAATATCCACAATGCATATGGGAGGAAGGTAAACGAAAGTTCCTCTTCTACCCAAGCTATTAAATGGATTTTAAAAACCTTAATAATTGCATTACCCTTGGATTTCTAAAACTGATGGCAACTTCTCAGATTCCTCTACTCAAATCTAAACTTGTCATTGTCTGAACCCAGCAGCAGGCATTTAATCGTCCAATTTTATTGTTACTTTAGAGTTCAACTTTATGTGTCGAAGTCATTAGAATGACAAGGCCAGGCTTGGTTGTGGAGACAGAGATAAAACTGGATGGGGGAGGCAGTGATTAGAGCTGAAGAGAGAGGGAATATGTGGGTTTAGACAACCAACCCCCACTTGTCATAATAGAAAATGTGATTTGCCCTGGACGAGGTGTGGGCCTGACTCATTCTGTCAACTCCTGCCTGTGCAAAGAAAGGGTTTCTCATTTCCCTGGGGTCTTCTCTGAGAGTCCAGATATCATTATCTCTCAGCCAGGCAGGATGTGGGCCCCTTAATAACACTTCTCAGAGAGGCACACAGTGTTTCAGGAATGGGCTATCCAGGCACCACAGCATCCTTGCTAGGGAGGGAAAAGATTCTTCTCCTCTGCAGAAATGGTCAGAAAATGGACACTTCAGAAAGGCAATGACTAAGCTAGTGCCAAGAACCCAAGCATCAGGCTTTGCTGTTCAATTACTTACCCTAAACTAAACCCATTGCCTCCAATCTGACCCGAGTCAACGTCACCTCCTGTCAGTTCTACCACAAGAGACTCCCAGCTTGTCTCTGCACCCACTCCTGCCTCCTCCAGGTCAAAGTTCACTCAGCAGCCAGACTGACCTTAAAGCGCAAATCCTATCACAGTAGTTTCCTACTCACAATTCTATAAATTCCTATTGCTCTTGGGATAAAATCCAGTACCTTCCCATGGACTACAAGACTCTTTCCATTCTGGCCTCTGGCCTCTGGCCTCTGCCCATTTCTCCAGTTTCCCTCTTATTATGTTCCAGTCACACTGACTACCATGTTCCCTCCCTCCTCAGGGCCTGTGAACACACGTCTCCATTTCTTCTCCTAGCTGGCTCCCATTTCTCTCTTAGCTCTCAGCCTAAGTGTCACTTCCTAACCCTACAGACTCCTATTACACATTCTTATATCATCATGTGTTTCCCTTTATGTCCTTTATTACTGTTATTGTTAAAGGGAGCTCTGGCAGCACAGTGGTTAAGCTCTCGCCTGTTAGCCTAAAGATCAGTGGGTTGAACACACCAGTCACATCACTTGAGACAGATGTGGCAGCCTGCTTCCGTAAAGATTTACAGCCTTGGAAACCCTATGGAGTAGTTATACCCCATTCTATAGAGTCCTGGTGTGGCGTTGTGGGTTAATGCACCAGACTGCAAAGCTGTTTGATCTGCAAGGTCGGTGGTTCAAGCTCACCAGCTGCTCCTCGGAAACCCTATACAGGGTCGTTATGGGTCAGAATTGACTCAATGGCACTTAACAACAACAACATAGAGTCTCTATGAGTCAGAATTGACTCGGCAGCCATAGTTTGATTTTCTGATGCTTTTTTTTTTTTTTTTATGAATTGGCTGGAGGTTTATAGGGCAGATCTCAATCATCAGTTATCCATTCAACAATTTATGCACGTTTTGTTTCATCTCATTGATTGCAGTCCCCTCAATGTACCATCACTTATCCTACTTCCTGCCTGTTTCCTGTTTCCAGTCCTCCGTCTTCCCTTCTGAACTTTGTCCTTGGGTAAACACTGCTCTTTTGAGCTCAAATGATTGATTATACTAAGGTGTGTGTACCTCACTAGTGTTACTGTTCCCCTTATAGACCTGTGTATTATTTGACTGAAAGTTGAGTTCTAGACCTAAAAGGTGACTAAGGGCCATAGTCTTGGGGCTTTCACCAGACAAGTAAACCTGTTTTGTTTGTTTGCTTATTCTGTTTTATGATTTTGAGTTTTGTTCCACATTTTCCTCCCACTCTATCCAGGACCTTCAAATGTAATCCCTTTCAAAGCAGTTGATAGCAGTATCCAGGCCCCATCTACATCTTCTGGCAGTAGGGCCTTGAAGACTAATGATTGTGTGGCCGTTAGTCCATTTGGGCTAAATGTTTCCATGGGTCTTAGATTTTCATCACTTTTCTTTCCTCTAGAAAAGAGATCGTTATTATTTGATGGTTAAGTTTCTGTGTCTGTTAATTAACCGAGGTTGAAGTTCAAGCCCACCAGCTGCTCCTTGGAAACCCTTTACAGGGTCGCTGTGAGTCAGAACCAACTCAACAGCACTTCATAACAACAACAACCAGAAGCAGAATACAGGCTCCAGGAGAGAAGGGATATGGGGTCCATCCTGTTCATTGCCATGTCTCCGGGTTCTAATAGAGTGTCCAACATACAGTAGACATGGAATAAATGATCAAGAACAAAGTAGGCCAACTGAACAGTTTCCAAGGTGGTGTCCTGGTTCTTTAGGGGATCATGCATGGCTCCCGGGTAGAGGTTCCAGGGCTAAGGTGCTGGGAACAGTCAGAGCTCAGAGACTGGGGATCTGGCGGTGAAGAGTGTATCATAGAAAGACTGTTGTGTATGAGTGAAGAAGATACTGGGAGGTGAAAATGAGAATGAGAGAAGCATGGAAATATTAAAGAGCTCTCCAATAAGCAAATGCTTATTGTTGTTAGTTGAGTTGCCCTCGAGTGGACTCCATCTCATGGTGACCTTAATGTCTAACAGAAAACAATGCTGTTCAGTCTTGCACTGTCTTCATGATCGCTGGTATTCTCCAGTCCAGTGTTGTGACTATTGGATCATTGATTCATCTCCTTGAAGGTGTCCTTCATTTTTGTATGATGTCATTTTCTAGTGATTGGTGGCTCCTGATAGTCACATAGACCACAGTTTACCAGCAGTACTAGGATGGCTGGGAGGAGGAATTGGGAGTTATTGCATAAGGAATACTGAGGATCTGTTAGGGTTTTGAAAAAATGTGGAAACAGATAGTGATGGTGATTGTACAAACATGGAGAGAATAATAATTAATGTCACTAGATTATACAGATAAAAATGGTTGAATTGGTGACTATTTTGTTACATATATTTCACAACAATATTTAAAAAAGAGAGAGAGGTCTCAAACATTGAAAAATCCTAAGTTTACCTGTACAGTTTCTTCCTTTTTTCATGAATTTATGACACAGCATCATACAGTGGGAGTAGGCAAAGTGCCACAGTCCTTGGATGGCCAAGTAGGCAAGAGTACCTCTGTGAAAACCTCTGCTTCTCCAGGGCCATGGTGAAATGATGTGTATAGGCATATCACAGCTAAATGGCCTTAGACACATTTCCTAACCACCTTGTACCTCAGTTTTCTTATCCTAGAAATGAGGATAAAAAAATATACCCTCTCATAGGTTGAAAAAAGGATTAATGAGGTGACTGTTGTTGTTCTTATAGTTGCTGTAAAGTCAGTTCTGACTCATGGTAACCTCAAGTGTGTCAGAGTAGAACTGTGTCCAGAGGGTTTTCCAAGACTGAATCAATGGCTGATTTTTAGTAGCAAACACATTGCACTTTTCAAGAGACCTCAATAAGGTGATACCTGTAGAGAATTTAGAACAATGTCCAGACTAGAAATCAGTCAAAACATATTGTTACTATTGAGTATGAAATGATCTTCACCAGGGATAACTCTGACAAAAATCAGAATTTGCAAATGTAACCCACTTACAGCAGCATCCTTTTAATAATTCATCAAACTTAAGGAGTTATTTATAGCTGATTCTGTGTAGCACATCAGCATTAAGCATCACCTGTTTCAATAAGAAGAAAGCAAAGCCATTTAGATTAGCTGAGATATTTTGGATGGGTTCAGCTTAGGTTTTCTGAATATGGTCTCCTTTTGACAATAACTGACTAATGGATGAAGAGCTGAAAATGTGTTATTTTGGGAAGCACAGGGGGAAACCTGTGGACTAATTTTGGGTTCCCTTAAAACCAAGCCTCCTAGTCAATATTAAGTATTAAGTACCTGGAGACCCAGGCTGGTCTCAGGCAAAACAGTGAAATATTGGGGTTGTATTTGGTTCCCACTTTCATCTATATAATCCCCCCAGGCCCCGCTATATGCCAGGCCCAGTGTTTGGTCCTGGGAATACAATCCCATTGCCAAACTGTCTCTCACCTCTTAGGCCTTCCCACATGGTGTTCCCTCTTTCTGGAGCACATTTCCTCCTCCCTCCTTCTGTTTAATTCTTAGGATAAAACTTATCTCCTCTAGGAAATCCTTCTTGACTCCTTTACCTGCCTTTGCTATCTGAGGAGGATAACTATGATCTCTGCCTTCACAGCATCTAAAGGCCAACCAGGAAGACAGATGCTTAAATAAAGTTAAAATAAAGTGTGATCAGGAGAGGAAGCCCAAATTGCAAATAAAGAAAAGATGCTGAACCTTAGCAATAATCAGGGAAATAAGGTTAAAAGCACAATGAGCCATTACCTCACATCACATCATATTGGCAACAACATTAGAATCTGATGGTACCAAATTTGAGGCGGATGAGGAGCAACAGGAACTCTGATGCTGCTGGTGGGATATTAATTGGTACAACCGCTTTGGAGACCAATGTGGCAGTAGCTGGTCCAGTTGTGAAGTTCATATTTCCTCTTACCCAGCAGTTCTTCTCCCAAGCATGTGTACAAGGAGACAGGAACAAGAGTGTTCACAGCTGGGTGAGCACTCCACAGAAAAATCAAAAGCCATCAGTGTCTACTAACAAGTAAGTAGAAATAAATGTGGTAGAAACACACAAGGGAATATTATACAGTAGTGAAAATAAAAGAAGTAGAGTTACATATATGAATATGGATGGAGCTCACAACATATTTACACTGCCACCCTCACCCCAAAAAAGCATGTTGACGAATATCTAAGCAAGCAAAACAGTATCATAGAGTATGTTGTTTAGAGATACGTACATGGTTAGTAAGGGATAGAGAACTACATGCGGAATGATAAACACCAAATTCAGGAAAATGGTTACTTGGCAGTGGGGAAGAAAGTGTCTGATAGGAAAAGGGGGTCAGGTTAGCCAGGGGTGCACAGGCTTTCTTAACAGGGTCTTGGATACATGAGGGTTCAATATACCTTTGTATATGTCTTCAATATTTCTTAATACATTTTAAATAAATAAAATAGAGTCTCCTGGTGTGGTATTATAGGATCAGCACCAGATTGCCAACCATAAGACTGGCAGTTCAAACCTACCAACTGCTCCTTGGAAACCCTATACAGGGTCGTTATGAATTAGAAGCGACTCGCCAGCACTTAGCAACAACAACAAAATAGGGTAGAATTAGGCTGCGATAAGGAAAACAGAGAGCTAGAGGTGACTAAAGGAGTAAAGGTGGACTATGCCAATTCTAAGACATGAATAGGAGTTATACAAAAGGAGGGAAGAGGAAGTGTGTTCCAGGAAGTGGGAACAAACAGCATGTGGAAAGAACCAGAGGTGAGAGAAATTTAGCAAAGAGACTGAAAGAAATTCTGTATGACTGACACATAGAGAATGAACAAGGCATTTGGACTCTATTCTAAACAATAGGAAGGAAGTCATGAGGATTTTACTTAGCGAAGTCACAAGGTCAGATTTCTTCCTGGAGGATCTCTCTGGCCACAGTGTGGAGAAGGGGCTGAAGGGGGCAGGACTAGGTGCAGGGAGACAAACTAAGAGACTATGGGCGGAGATGATGGTGAGTTGGGGGGTTGGGTGGGGGAACCTTGAGCAGGGTAGGCAGATTTGAGAGCTATTTAGAAGGTAAAATAGACATGATGGGATTGGGTCTGCGGTTCTTTAGATTTCTCCTTTCCCAAGAAAACCAGTTACCTATATCATCTTACAGTGGACATTTCCAGGCAAACAGGCTGGACTAGTCTGGACCTCCAAGTATGAAGGAACAGATGTGTCTATTGACGATTTTTGACAACTTTAGAGTTGGGCAGGTCTGGGTTTGAATCCCAACTCTACCATTTACTCACTGGGTGATATTTTGTAACGTAGTCTCCAAGCCACAGTTTCATCATCAGTTCAATGGGGGGAAATAAAGAAAGCATGGATATAAAACATTTAGTTCAATACTTGGCAGATTGTAAGCAACCAAATAAAGGTTATCCATGCCCCCATCTCATCTGCCATCTATTTCTGGGTTGTTGTCAAGTGCCATTGAGTCTGTTCTGACTCATAGCAACCCTGTATAGGGTTTCCCAGGCAGCTGGTCCAGTGTTTATCCTACAATACTATTTCTGGGTAGTTCTACAGAATGCAGTGGGGTGAGTGGACAGAAGAATTGTATTCCTCTTAAACAGCCTTGGAGATTCTTTTAATAATATTCATCACGGAAAATTTTCAAAAGCATCGATTTGTAATTCCCCAAGGAACAGGAACCTAACAGAACTTAAGACCTATGTGTTGCTCCCAGAAGGATGGGCTATGTCCCTGCCTGTGACCCCGGCTCCCATCCCCACACAGGTCCAAGTGGGTTCCTCGGGGTGACTACATCGCCTCCAACACCGACGAGTGCACGGCCACGCTGATGTATGCTGTCAACCTGAAGCAGTCGGGCACGGTCAACTTTGAGTACTACTATCCAGACAGCAGCATCATCTTTGAGTTTTTTGTAAGCCACTAGCCAAGTGGGAGGGTGGGATGTCGAGAGTCCCGGAGGCCCAGACTCATTTGTAGAAGTCACACAGTAGGCCAGCTGGGGAAAGCTGCACAGCGGTTTTCCTTCTGGGTGAGTTAAGGCTTCAAGAGGTGAGGAGAATAGGCAGATGTTGGAGACCTCTGAGGAGGAAGAGTGAAGTCTGGGAGATTTCTAGATGTTTGTCCTGCTCAGACATGAAAATAGCATATGAACACTTCTGGTTATAATTAATTTCTTTGATGTCACTTTGTGTTTGTGCAACTAGCTCCAATCCTACTTCAAGGCTCATGGATTCTGACTCAGTCCCTAAAGGGAATTGGCAACTAAAGGAAATGCTATAGTCTCTTTCTGAGGTGGTGGAATATGGTTGTATTGCTCCCATGACTTGATCCCAAAGACCACCAGAAGGGCCTCTGGAATATTGAAGCAATGTGGAATAAGGAACTCATTTCCTCAGAAAGCTAAGATTTGATCCCAACCTCCTGCTGCTCCAGGTGCAGAATGACCAGTGCCAGCCCAATGTGGACGATTCCAGGTGGATCAAAACCACAGAGAAAGGATGGGAAATCCACAGTGTGGGTATCATACTTTCCTTCTTCCTGGCGACTTCAGAAAAGGGCCTAAGGCTGTCCTTCACAGAGTGCTTCCTCTCTGTCTGGGCTTCCATCTCTGTCCCTAAAGAACAGGACCTGCCAATGATGAGGATGCTATAGTCAGCCTCCTTGAGATGCTGGAACATGAGTGTGGGCTAAGTGCAGGGTTTTCTTCTAGGGATGGAGGATGGGTGAGTAGAAACAGCGAGAAATAATGGGATAATAGCATATCATCAGCAGCACCATCAAGTCTCTTCATGGGTCTCGCCATAAGAGATGCTCATATGTCTGAATAAATAGTGGGAAGGGGACATGAGAGGGTTGTAAGAACAGGCTTAGAAGGAGAAAAGAAAAGCTAAAATGGTAGGAAGAGCCAAGCTGAGGAGTTGAGGGAGAGGATCAGAGTAGGCAGTCACGCCAGCTGTAAGAAGAAGAATCTCAGAGAGAGGTTAATCCAATAATCTCTGCTACTTCAATAACTCCAGTTTGTGCTTGTTAGGTGGAGCTAAATCGAGGCAATAATGTCCTGTTTTGGAGAACCACAGCCTTCTCTTTGTGGTCCAAAGCACCAAAACCAGTGCTGGTGAGAAACATCGCAATAACAGGTAAAGAGTGCAGGGTCCCATAAGGGTGTGGAGCTGTGAACCCCTGCCTCTTGATTTTGGTGGGCGGGTGGGAATCAGTCCCCAGGGACTCAACCTCTGGACTCAGCCCTTGCTTGTCTGTGTTATTCTTCCTCCCTAGGGGTGGCCTACACTTCAGAATGCTTCCCTTGCAAGCCTGGCACGTATGCAGCCAAGCAGGGCTCCTCTTTCTGCAAACTTTGCCCAGCGAACGCCTACTCCAATAAAGGAGAAACGTCCTGCCACCAGTGCGACGGGGACAAATACTCAGGTGGGGTTTCTGAAGGTGGGCAAAGATTGGTGTGGGTCACCACCCACAGGGCAAAAGCAGGAAGTAGAGCTGTCCTTTTGGCCAAGCTGAAGATGATCATTCTTAAATACTGGACCAAAAGGTCGGTGGTTCAATTCCATTAGCCTCTCCTCAGGAACTCTACACAGGGTCGCTATGAGTCAGAACACTTAATCATAACCACTACCACCAAAGTCAGTTTGAACAGTAAGGTTGGTGGTTCAAGCTCACCAGCCACTTCTCAGGAACCCTATACAGGATCACTATGGGTCGGAACCTACTTGACAGCAGTTAACAACAACAAAATATGTTATAAGCATCTAATGTTTTAGGACTCCTGGTTTGGGGCTGTAGGATAAGCACTGGACTGTAAACCACAAGGTCAGCAATTCAAACCCACCAACTGCTCCTTGGAAACCCTATTCAGGGTCCCTATGAGTCAGAACAACTCGACAGAACTTAACAACAAAAATGTGTTATATAGAAGCCCTGGTATGGTGCTGTAGGTAAGCACTGGATTACTAACTGCAAGGTCTGTGGTTCAAACCTACCAGCTGTTCCTTGAAAGCCCTATACAGACAGGGGTGCTGTGAGTCTAAACTGACTCAAGCCATTTAACAAGAGCAACAATGTGTTATAACATGCTTTGTTGTTGTTAAGTGCCACCTAGTCAGTTCCAACTCACAGCAACCCTGTATAGGGTTTCCAAGGCTATAAATCTTTGCAGAAGTAGAAGCCCCCATCTTTCTATCATGAAGTGACTGGTAGACTTGAACCATCTGTGATTAGAAGTCCAGTGTTTATCCTACCAAGCCTTCACATAACTCTTCATATAACATGCTGCTGTTGTTGTTGAGTGCCATCGAACCAGTACCGACTCAAAACGACCTTATGCGCAACAGAATGAAACACTGCCCAGTTCTGTGCAAACCTAACAATCTTTGCTTTGTTTGAGCCCATTGCTGCTGCCACTATGCCAATCCATCTCACTGGGGATCTTCTTCTTTTTTTCCAACCATCCTCTTTACCAAACATGATATCCTTCTGAGGGACTAGTTCCTCCTGATAATATGTCCAAAGTATGAGAAACGAAGACTGCCCATCCTGGCTTCCAAGGGGCACTCTGGCTGTACTTCTTCCAACACAGATTATTTTGTTCTTTTGGCAGCCAATGGCACTTTCAACATTCTCCTCCAACACCATAACTCAAATGCATCAACTCTTCTATGGTCTTCCTTATTCACTGTCCAGCTTTCACATGCATATGAGGTTATTGCAAATACCATGGCTTGGGTCATGTGCACTTTAGTCTGCAAACTGACATCTTTGCTCTTTAGCATTTTATAGAGATCTTGTGCAACAGATATGCCTAATGCAATGCATTGTTTGATTTCTTTCTTTTTGAATTAAATACTTTGTAGCATGGATCATCAGATGGCTATGACTCCTTTTCTTTCTGTTCTTTGCTAAGTTTAATATTTATGTGTAGAATTATGCCTATGCACAGTATTTACCTTTAAAAAAAAAAGGTAAGGGCATTCTCTTTGGATCTCTTGATTTCCATCTGGTTGCTAATGTTGTTGTCAAGGACCACCGAGCCGGCTCCGACTCACAGCGACCCTGCATAGGGTCTCCAAGGAGAGGCCGGTGGGCCCAAACTACTGACCCTGTGGTCAGTAGTCCAGCACCCATCCCACAGCGCCACACTGGGACTCCTTTTAAAACTATTTGCCGTAAGTCTAATTAATAATCATCATAATAATAAAATGATCAGGAGAATTAGTTGTAAAGCATCTCTAGAATTGGGTAACAATACCAGAAGTCATTGTCTTTCAGTTTACTTTCTGCATGGCTTAGCATTATTACCAAAGTAATGAGGTTGATGTGTCCATTCTCCATTCTGGGGCTTTGTTTATCTTTGAGAAAACACTGCTACAAAAGAGACAAGCTCCTTTTATTCCGCCAGGTTTCTCTGGCATTGCCTCCAATGTCCCAGAACAGTGGCCTATAGTGGTGCAAAAGATTCTTGCCTATAACCCTCATACTTGTAAAATAAGAGATTATAAAATTTTGTTGGCTTTTTTTTTTTGTATTATTTACGTTATCTGATATAAGCGCTGGACTTCTAACCACAAGCAAGGTGGCCTGAACCCACCAGTCATTTTGCGTGAGAAAGATGAGGCTTTCTGTTCTCACAAAGGCTAACAGTCTCAGAAACCCTATACAGGATCCATGAGTCAGAACAGTTTGGCAATACTCAACAGAAACAGCTTTATACTTTATTTTGTTTTACCTTTTTTTTTTTTGTACGTTTGATCTCCTGCTCAGTACATCATGCTTATAGTCCCACTCTTCCTTGCATGTGTTGTTATTGTTATTGAATGCTGTTGAGTCTATTCTGATCCACAACAACCTTGCATAGTATTTCCGAGAAGCGGTTGGTGGGTTCAAACCACCAACCCTACAGCCAGCAGTCCAGTGCTTTCCTTACAGTACCACACCAGGACTAGTTTTATATTTCTTTTCAAGACTAATGCAGTCTTCCTTTTCTCTCTTAATTTCCTTTATTCTTTAAAAAAGAGCTAGGAGGATGAACTTAGATGATTATGATTAATTTGATATAGTATTTAAATTGAATTTTCAGACCAATCTTCCATTAATAAGTTTTAAGCTAACTTACTTTTGGTAATATAAACTTGAGATATTTATTGGGTGACAGTTTGTTATTTTTCATATATCAGATATCGACCACCTATAAAGGAGCTCTGGTAGCATAGTGGTTACGAATCGGACTGCAAACCTCAAGGTCAGCAGTTCGAAACTACCAGCTGTTCCGCAGGAGAAAAATGAGGCTTTCTGCTCCCATAAAGATTTACAGCCTCAGAAACCCTGTACAGGGTCGCTATGAGTTGGAACAGACTCCACAGCACATCATCAAAGGAGCTCTGGTAACATACTGGTTATGAGCTGGGCTGCTAACCTCAGGGTCAGCAGTTCAAAACTACCAGCCATTCCTTGGGGGAAAGATGAGGCTTTCTGCTCCTGTAAAGATTTACAGCCTCAGAAATCCTATGCAGGGTCACTATGAGTTAGAACCGACTCCACAGCATACGAGCACCACATACCCAGTGTCAAAATTCAGAGTATTTAGTTATACTAGTGCTAGTAAAAGTTGAGATGCGAGGTATGTTAAAATGAACTCCACCACCTGACTGTCCCTTATTCACTCCAGTATTCATAACTAATCAACCACACAGGTTAATGTCCCATTCTTTTGAACTTTAAATTTTTTCCCTTTCCATCAAATCTTACCTATATATATCCCAAAATTTTATCTATATAGATATGTTGTTGTTAAGTGCTGTCGAGTTGGCTCTGACTCACAGCGATTCCACATAGGCCCTCTGAGGAGAGTCTGGTAAACCTGAACTGCCAACGCTGGAGCCCAAGCCAACCTTGGAGTCCAGTGCATTAATCCACAGCTCCACACCACGACTCCATATATGTATATGTATTATATATGTTGTT